GTCGCCGCGCCCAGCTGTCTGGAAGTTTTTCATTGTAATCTGTGGAGAGAGAAAAGCTTTTGTGGGCTTCCTTCATCTTCTCCTGTAGCAGCAGTGCTAACAGTTGATTTGTAAGGCCTCTTTTCAGCTCTTTGTCTGGGCTGATGTATTGCTTCCTAAGTCTAACATCTTTTCTACTATAAGTATGGACAAATACTGTTCAAAAAACCTACAAATATATAGGCATTGTCTTGCAAGCCGATTCATGATTGGCCGTGATCTATATAAATTTAAAGCAGACTGTAGAATTCAAGAAAGATTAATTTTAATTCCCTTTTTTCCATTAGTGATCCTAAAATCGAGGATTTTAAAAAATCTTTTTAAAAGACTTTCTAAACCTTTTAACTTCAACCCTTTGATTAATCGCTTGGTTCCATGACTCTGCCAAGAGCAAACGCTACAGGCAGTGTTGTTGTCCAACAGCCAGTAGAGGGAGCGGCAGGCTTCTTCACTGCGGCTGGGCCTGGCTCCTCCTCTGGGAACTTGCAGCCCTTGTTATATTTGTGAGCACAACACATCCAGTTATACTCTTGTAGTTATTTTTAAATGTACAATTAAATTATTGTTGACTCTAGTCACCCTGTTGGACTATCAAATACTGGATCTTATTGATTCTTTCTATTTTTTCATAGTCATTAACCACGTGCACTTCCCCCTGCCTCGCCCACCCCACTGCCCGTCCCCGCCTCTGGTCTGCTACTCTCTGGTCCTTCTCCTCTCTCTGTCTCCAGAAAGCACGGACTTCTTGGTTACAGCCTGTAGTGGTAGCTGAGATTTTGAGGCCTGGGTGAAGACGTCAGTAGGAGGGTCAGAGGATGAAAGTCAGCACCATGAGAGTGCCTAAACCTTGCTGAAGAAGAGAAAATCCAGGAGATGAAGAAGGGAGAGTTGGAAAGATCAGAAAAGAATTGAGAAAGGTGTCATGGAAGCCCTGAAGGCAGGCAGTTTCAAGGAGGGAATGATCAGCAGTGTCACATGCCACCAACAGGATGGAGTGGGACCGAGGAGCAGCCACTATGTGTGGAGGACACCAGGCCCTTGAAGCAAGAACAGTTTTGGTGATCACTTGGGCAAGAGCTAGGGTGTGGGGAGTTGAGAAGCAAGGGGAGAAAGTAGACACAATGAAAGAGGCTTGGTTCTGAAGCCAGCGGGGAATGTTTGTGTCCCAACCCCCTTAACTCCCCCAATACCCCAGACTGGAGTGTGCAGTGTGTGGGGGCCTGCCGTGACCACAGCAGTGCTCAGCTCCTTGGATGTAGGACAGGGAACTTGCTTGGTGGTTCGACCTCGAGCTGGAGTTTTTCAGGGAGCGGTTGTGAATGTCGTTGCTGATCTTAATTCTGGTCGTCTCATTACCAGATCCCCTGCAGCTTTTAGTCCTTGCAGTCCCTCTTCTCCCTCTTCACGTGGAGACCTCTCAGATGGGAACTCATCTCCTTTCCGATTGGCCGCTGCTTTCCCTTCACCATGGTCTCGGTGGAACATGAGACCCTTTGCTGGAGATTTGGGCAGCAGTTTCTGAGGGTCTTTACTCTTCCCTCCTGGAATTTCAGCCTCTCCACATGTTTGTCTCCCCAGCTGGTGGCCATTCTCTACTTTCCTTCCAGACCCTCCCTACTTCGGCTGGAGTTGCTTTTTTACTTCTGTGTTATCAAGAGGCTGTTTCCTCCACAGTCATTCCTCAGTCCCGAGAGTCCAGTTGTTAGCACAGCTGTCATTCCACTGAACTGCACAGGCCACTGATGACCTCTTGGTTGGCAAATCCAGTGACTTCTACATTGACACAGTCTACCTATCTTTCTCGCTCTGTCGCCCAGGCTGGAGTGCAGTGGTGTGATCATAGCTCACTGCAGCCTAAGACTCCTGGGCTCAAGCAATCCTGCCTCAGCCTCCCGAGTGGCTAGGACTACAGATGTATGCCACCATGCTTGACTAATTGTTTTATTTTTATTTTTTGTAGAGACAGAGTCTCAGTTTGTTGTCCAGGCTGTTTTTGAACTCGTAGCCTCAAGTGATCCTCCTAATTTAGCCTCCCAAAGTGTTGGGATTACAGATGTGAGCCACCGCGTCTGGCTTCTGGCCCCTTAAATGGAGGCGCTTTATGGTGTTCTGTCCTGGTTCACTCGCTCCACAGTTGGTCTCTGGAGCATAATATCCACTCCATAGTTTCATGTAACTCCTTGCAAATAAAGCTAGTGCTGGTTTTTTTCCTTTAGTTCTAGACCAAACTAGACACACTTTTTGACAGAAGCCTCTTCAGAGTTATAAAGGTACTATAAACTCAAATTTCATTTGAAATAATGTATTTTTTTCTAAACAACCTAACCTTGACTCTCTCTATTCCCTCACTCCTCCTCCCCCACCCCACCCAATCTAGGCAGTTGTAAAGTACTGTTGACTTTACCTAAGGGTGACAGGAAGCATTTCACATGTGCTTACTGGCATGCCTGTTGCTGCTGGCCAACTTTATAACTTCACTGTCTACCTCCATTTTTTGTGGGTCTTCCAGAATCGCTGGCAGCACCAGCCAGAGCATGCCCCTCTTCCTTGGTTGCTCTCCTGTACTGACCAAGTCACACCCAGCTTCTTGATAGAGCCCTTTTTGATCTTATCCCAAATGACTCTTTCACCCCATGTCTCACCCCTCTTTAGCTGTTTCCTAAAACTCCGGGAGCTTTCTTTCCTGTGGGCATGTCCTTGTGTTGTTCCTGCCCTGGCTGGCTGTCCCTCCCATCCCTTTTGTGTTGAAAAGCCATCAGGGTCTAGTGCAAGTGTCATCTCTGTGGAGTCTCCCTTCTTGAGTCTAGAGTAAATGTTTGGGGGATTACAAGCAGTAGAACTTGACTAGAGCTGTCCTAACGATTGCCATTTATGGAGAAATTATTGTGGGACAGATTGCATTATGACGCTTTCCATCCGTTATCACATGTACACTAGAAGCAGATGGCCAAGAACAGGAGCTTTTCTGCCATTTACTAGCTTTGCAACTGTGGACAAGTTAATTACTATCTCAGTGTCAGTGAAATCTGAGGATTCAATGTACTTCCACATGGAAAACAAGCAATAAATGGTAGCGGTGGCCTCTGGGAAGATTTTCATCCCTCTTCATCCTCTCATAAGATAGTAAGTACTGTTATCGTTCCTATTTCATAGATGAGGAAACTGAGGCTCAGGGAGAGTGGGTAATTGTTCTGCTTCCCCCAACACATGGCTGCAGGAGTCGTGGCTTCTTCATGTCTTCACTCCAGAAGGTCTTTAACGCAATAAATACTTACTGAGCTGATTGGAAAGATGGATCTGCAGCCCCAGAGTCAAATTGAGAGAGAAATATAGAAGTTGTCACCTGCACGGGGGTGGTCATTGCAGTTGTTTGATCTCCTCGAAGTTCTGTAGTCTTTCAGCGTCCACACGATTCAGCCCCCCTTTCAGCAATGAGCTGTGTCTTTCTTTGAGGCAGATGATCACTATATCTAACTGTCACTCAGATCTTTTGTTGTGAAAATTTGCATGTATTTGCCTTCTTTCTCCAGCTGGGTTAAGTGCTTTCAGGGCAGAGGGATTGTACCTTGTATTTCTGTGTATTAACTCCCACCTCTTTTTTTTTTTTTTTTGAGACGGAGTCTCGCTCTGTCGCCCAGGCTGGAGTGCAGTGGCAGGATCTCTGCTCACTGCAAGCTCCGCTTTCCGGGTTCACGCCATTCTCCTGCCTCAGCCTCCAGAGTAGCTGGGACTACAGGCGCCCGCCACCTCGCCCGGCTAGTTTTTTGTATTTTTTAGTAGAGACGGGGTTTCACTGTGTTAGCCAGGATGGTCTCGATCTCCTGACCTCGTGATCCACCCGTCTCGGCCTCCCAAAGTGCTGGGATTACAGGCTTGAGCCACCTTGCCCGGCCAACTCCCACCTCTTTTAGTCCCTCTTTACTAAGATAATAGGTCAAATCTGGGAAATATTAATCTCAAAAAGGAATTCACCCATTTCTAAGAGATGACCACACAAGATGATTTTGTGTGTTTTAATTTTTTAGTTTTAGAGATAGGGTGTGGCTCTGGGACCCAGGCTGGAGTACAGGCTAAAGCGATCCTCCTGCCTCACCCCCTTGTCCTCTGCCTTCCGTAGCTGGGACTGCAGGTAGCTGGGACTACAGGCACAACCCACCATGCCCAGCTAATTTATTTTAATTTTTTGGTAAGGTCTTTTAATGTTGCCCAGGCTGATCGGGAATGCCTGGCCTCAAGGGATCCTCCCACTTGGCCTCCCAAAGTGCTGGGATTATAGGCATGAGCCACCACACCTGGCCCAAGGTGATTTTGTTAGTTGGTACTTTCTGTAATTTGGATGAAGAAAGCATTATTTTCTTCACATTTTCCAGATAGAAATTACCATCCTGGGCCGGGCGCGGTGGCTCATGCCTGTAATCCTACCACTTTGGGAGGTCAAGGTGAGTGGATCACTTGAGATCAGGAGTTCGAGACCAGCCTGGCCAACATGATGAAACCCCGTCTCTACTAAAAACATACAAAAAATTAACTGGGCATGGTTGTGGGCACCTGTGATCCCAGTTACTTGGGAGGCTGAGGCAGGAGAATCGCCTGAACCCTGGAAGTGGAGGCTACAGTGAGTCAAGATCGTGCCACTGCAAACCAGCCTGGGCAATAAGAGCGAAACTCCATCTCAAAAAAAAAAAGGAAAAAGAAAATGACCCTCCTGTTTTTAAAATGGTACATGCACTGCTGCTTTGTTTCCTACAATCACACCTCTGATACCCATTCGTACCCTGAGCTGGGAGTCACTCACACACACGCTTCTATTCCCATTCTCTCGGTTTACAGTTGAAGGAACTGAGACCCACACTCCAGTGGTTTTCCCATTTTTTATCTGACAAAGTATTCTCTGTGCAGCTCAGTCAGGACTCAGGACATAGGGCTATGCGAGTTCTCAACGCTGTACTTTCCCTCCACAGAGCTGAGAAGCTCCAGCTGCTGAACCACCGGCCTGTGACCGCCGTGGAGATCCAGCTGGTGAGCGAAGGGCGCCTGCGCTGGGGAGGCTGCTGTGGGTCTGAGATGTAGAAAGGCTGTGGTGGACAAGCTAGGAACTGTTGTTTTTTTTCGAAGAAGCTGCCCAACCACCCCATTTTTTAAGGAAAAGGAGACCTTGCCAGTTTGATCCTAGTTAATGTGGACTTAGGGACCGTAAAACACTGGAGGAGATTTCATTCCTCCCCTAGGATTTCGGCTGATGACTTGGCAGCTCTCTGTCTCCCCTGATGTCCAGGCCATTCTGGCCGTTGCTTCCCTGTAGGGGTTGTTGCCAACCAGATGTTGCATAAAAACATGAAACTCAGCATGTCTCTGGTGAACATTCTCTGCCCCCACGCCCACCCTTCACCCCACTCTTGCTTCCTCTCCTTCTGGGTGAGGGGAGCATGTGTGCGCTGTCCCACCGGCTCCCTTCCTTGCTCATCTCCTGGCCTAGCCTCCCATGCTGGAAACCTGCAAGCCATTCTCTTCCTTTCATCTCATAGTCACAGAGTCCCCAAGTTCTGTTGCTTTTGTCTTCTGTTCTTGCTTCTCTCCCTCCTGTACTGCGTTGATTTCTGCATTATGTCTCTACACGGCTCTTGTGGTTGTCCTCTCCCCATTCTCCCTGGCTCCCCAAGTCCATCTCCCACATCACCGTCAGAGATCACATCTAAAATGATGAATGTGATCCCGTTTCCCTGCATGAAACCATTTATTTAGTGCAGCCTCATCACTTGCGGAGTCTGCTTTGCATTGAGAGCATAGGCTTTGGAACAGGAGGAGGCAGCCAGAGTAGAGGGCCTGCGATGGGGTATTGGGCCTGGGAAATGATCCAGGGAGATACCCAGGCCACCACTGGGCACGTTGTGGCCACTGCCTTCTTATTACAGGGCAGAGAGCATCGGTACGTGACAAGTGTCAAGCAGGCCATCTAACTGCCAGTTAAAAAAAAAAAAAAGAAGCTGTTCATTGTCTTTCTAGGATTGTTTTTGTCCTTCAGAATGTACCCAAAATTAAATTAGAACAGTTCCTTCCATGAAGGGTGCTTTTCTCTGGGAACCCGCCTGTAGCCTAAATAGAAACCCCTTTCTCATGTGTCCTGATTATTTTCATGCTTTACGCTGTGTTGGAGTTTCAACTTAGAGCTTAGAGGAGAGAAAAAACAAACAGAACAGCAAGAAACGAATCCCTGTCCCTCTGGGTTAAAGATCACATGTCATGTCTCCTCCAGCTTTAATCAGCAACATATGTTACCCATGGCTTAATGACAGGCAGAGAGAAGAGATGAGGATTAGCGTGACCTCAGCCAGAGCCTGTGGAAAGTGCTATCATTACTTGGGGGAAAATTCGCTGCTATTGAGAATGCCTGGGGTGGGCTGGGCGCAGTGGCTCATGCCTGTAATGCCAGCACTTTGGGAGGCCAAGGTGGGCGGGTCACCTGAGGTCAGGAGTTCAAAACCAGCCTGGCTCAAGTGGTGAAACCCCATCTCTACTAAAAGTACAAAAATTAGCTGGGCATGGTGGTACACACTTGTAATCCCAGCTACTCGGGAGACTGAGGCAGAATCACTTGAACCCGGGAGGCCAAGGTTGCAGTGAGCTGAGATCGCACCACTGTACTCCAGCCTGGGTGACAGAGTGAGACTCCATCTCAAAAAAAAGAGAGTGCGTGGGGTGTGCCAGACCTTGGTCCTGGCGCCTGTGATTGTCTGTCACTTTGAATGCCCTCCCCACAGTCTTGGAAGGGGGCAAGTGTCCTCTCCATTTTAGCCCAGAGGGCTGGTGAGTGGCTGATTGAGACCTTCTGATTCAGAAGCTTTACTTTGCTCCTCCAAGCTAGGTACTCGTGCTTGATAAGACGAAAGATGTGTGTGACATCTCCTAAGATGGTTTCCTTCTCCTTTCTACAAAGTATGTAGGCCTTGGTAGAAACTGCTGTTTCTCAGCAGTTGAACCATTTTAAACCCAGATTCTTCCCACTCTGGAATTTGGCTACAAAAGGTAGCAAATTGTTTACCAAGGTTTGTAGCAGTATCTCTTCTCACCAGAGAGTGAATAAGAAATGAAAGCTTTGACTGAACATGGTGGCTCACGCCTGTAATCCCAGCACTTTGGGAGCCCAAGGTGGGAGGATTGCTTGAGACCAGGAATTCAAAACCAGCCTGGGCAACATAGTAAGGCCCCATCTCTACGAAAAGTTAAAAAAAATTAGCCAGGTGTGGTGGCGCACACCTGTGGTCCCAGCTATTCAGGAGACTAAGGTGAGAGGATTGCTTGAGCCCAGAATTTCAAGGCTGCAATTAGCTATGATAGTGCCACTGTACTCCAGCCTGGGTGACCGAGCAAGACCCTGTCTTTAAAAAAAAAAAAAAAAAAAAGCAAATGGCCAGGCACAGTGGCTCACACCTGTAATCCCAGTACTTTGGGAGGCCGAGGTGGGTGGATCACCTGAGGTCAGGAGTTTGTGACCAGCTTGGCCAACATGGCCCTGTCTCTACTAAATACACAAAAATTAACTGGGTGTGGTGGCATGAGCCTGTAATCCCAGCTACTCGGGAGGCTGAGGCAGAGAATCGCTTGAACCTGGGAGGTGGCAGTTGTAGTGAGCCGAGATTGCGCTACTGCGCTCCAACCTGGGTGACAAGAGCGAAACTCCATCTCAAGAAAACAAAAAGAAATAAAGGTTTCACTTACAGTGGAAAGCGCAAAGGACTTGAGTGAGAAGTTCCCTATATCAACACTAGAGCCATTTTTTCTCCCTGGGTCCAGAAAACAGTTCCAGTGTCCGACATTTATTACCATTCACTTGGGAGCCAGGTGTCTTTTGGAGGCTGAAACCTCACCTCTTCAGTTACGCCTGAGCCGTGATTTGCTGTGGCCCTCTGATGACTGCCTGCTGACTCAGAGGCTCAGTGAGGAAATGAGGTGGCCACCCGGCTTAGGACTTGTCGTGCCCAGTTGTGTATTGATTTGGAATGATTTGTGAGCCCTCTGGGCTGAGGTCAGTGAATCCTGTGACCTCACAGGCCACTGTCCTGAACAGCACTACCATCTAGGCCTGTTAGTAATTTCGTGATTATGAAGTCTGGACTCATATAGAGTGTTATTGCTTGTAAAACACTGTTACATATGTTCTCCTTTTGTCCTTGCTGTAGGCGTTACTTTCATTTTACATTAGAGAAAATTGAAATTTAGAAAACCAGGTTTAGTTAACTGTTCTGGATCAAATATTTAATAGTGTACGTTGTTGCTCTCAGATCTTTGACTCATTTTGAGGAAAGTAGGACATTAGGTTTGGCAACTTTGAGTTGCCATTTTTGGAGATCAGCGACCCAGTTTGATGCTCCTGGGACTGAAATAATGAAAGTTTATCATTTGTGTTAACTCAGCTATCGATACTTCAGACTTTTATGTTTATTTGTCCTTATGTTCTGAACTACCTGAAATGATTGGTATCTGAGAACCTTGAGATGGTGCTTTGAACTTTACTCTTGGAATGTTTCTCCTCTGTTGGAAAGAAAAGGTGAAGGGTCAGGCATAGTGATTCATGCCTGTAATCCCAGCACTTTGGCAGGCTAATGTGGGAGGATCGCTTGAGCCCAGGAGTTCAAGACCAGCCTGGGCAACCCCATCTCTACAAAAAATAATAAAAAATAATTAGCTGGACATGGTGCCACATAGCTATAGTCCCAGCTACTCAGGAGGCTGAGGCAGGAGGATTGCTTGAGCCCAGGAGTTTGAGGCTGCAGTAAGTGACGATTGCGCCAGTATGCTACAGCCTGAGTGACAGAGTAAGACCCACTCTCTTTGGGAAAAGAAAAGGCGGGGGTGAGGGATAATGTAGGCATTGTCATTTACGCTAGTGATCCAAGAGGTGCTAGTGTTTTATTTCTGAAAGTTTCTTTTTGTTTATATTTCATTTAGTTTAAAGCAGTGTAGGGTTTCTTCCTGTGACTGGGAACCTTAGGTTGAAAAACAAAAGGTCCTGACTATAATTAACCCTGAGGATTGGATGTTGATAAAAGGTTCGGCTGTTAGTGAATTTAGCAAAGTTTTTTTCTGCACATTCTTTCCTCAAACGGAGATCATCTTTTCTCTGGATTAAATAACCAAATCTTGGCTATTTTCCTCCTTTCTCTGCTTTATTCTTTGGGGGCAGTACATGTTAGATTACTGCTTTTTATAGACTGTAACTTTGCATGTCTAATTTTAAACATGGATTTTTGGCCGGGCATGGTGTCTAACTCCTATAATCCCAGCACTTTGGGAGGCCGAGGCTAGTGGATCGCCTGAGGTCAGGAGTTCAAGACCAGACTAACCAACATGGAGAAACCCTGTCTCTACTAAAAATACAAAACTATCCGGGCGTGGTGGTGCATGCCTGTAATTCCAGCTACTAGGGAGCCGAGATCACCCCATTGCACTCTAGCCTGGGCAACAAGAGTTAAACTGTCTCAAAAAAAAAAAAGGGGGGGGCAGGGGTTGAAGATTGTTTCTTTCTCCCAAGAGAATTTACATTTTCCTGAGCCATGGAATCTTTAGAAAATGGTCATTTTATTTCACAGCGTCATAGGGAGTAGCCCCCATTGATTCGCTCAGGATCCCCCCGCCCCATCCTGGGACACCAGAATTATTATCTAGTTGCAGAAACACTTTTGGGCTGAAGTGAGTGGAGAGACCAGGGTTTTGCCAGGAGTTCGTGGTGTGACCTTGGGCATGTCACATGACTTCCTGAACTGTGCTGTTGTCTGTAAAGTGAGGTGGTCAGACTGGGATCCTCTCCAGGATTGCAGGCCTGTCCTATTACCTTGTTTTACTTCAGTCTGCCAGGATTTCTTTCTGGAACTCCCTGTGGTTCCATTTGCCGAATTTCAGAGATTGCTGTGGGGAATGCTGTGGAATAGGACCTGGCCACCTTGAGCTGAGAAAGGTGTTTGTGATCGATGGTTGATGCCACCAAGCAAACAGGGTTAAGTAACTTGACTGCCTGCATGCTGCTTTTAAAAAGGCAGCTGACGACCTAATTCTGCTTAGAATTAGGGGCTCAGGCTGTGCGTATCATCTCTAGATTCAGATTTCTGGGACCACATCAGAAACCAGGTTTTGCGTGGACCTTTGATGGGCAGTGTGGTGTGGAGTGTGGGAGACTGTGGGTTTTAGACTGGGCAGGCCTGGCTGGGGATTCCAGTTCTACCTCTTGGCAGCATTGCTGAGAGGATGAAAGGAAATGCTGGACGGGAAGTGCAAGATGCAGCTCCAGGCACACGGGAGGCCTCCCCGCAGGGCTGTTGCTAGTGGGAGTGAGGATTAGAAGAAGGCTCCAGCCAGGCGCGGTGGCTCAAGCCTGTAATCCCAGCACTTTGGGAGGCCGAGACAGGCGGATCACGAGATCAGGAGATCGAGACCATCCTGGCTAACACAGTGAAACCCCGTCTCTACTAAAAAAATACAAAAAACTAGCCGGGCGTGGCGGCGGACGCTTGTAGTCCCAGCTACTCCAGAGGCTGAGGCAGGAGAATGGTGTGAACCCGGGAGGCGAAGCTTGCAGTGAGCTGAGATCCGGCCACTGCACTCCAGCCTGGGCGACAAAGCGAGACTCTGTCTCAAAAAAAAAAAAAAAAAAAAAGAAGGCTCCAAACCATTTGGCACACAGTGGGCATCATCAACGATGTTGATGTTCATTAAATTACAGCTGTGTGCCGGGCGCGGTGGCTCACACTGTAATCCCAGCATTTTGGGAGGCCAAGGCGGGTGGATCACGAGGTCAAGATATTGAGACCATCCTGGCTAACATGGTGAAACCCCGTCTCTACTAAAAATACAAACAGTTAACTGGGCGTGGTGGCTCGCACCTGTAGTCCCAGCTACTCGGGAGACTGAGGCTGGAGAATTGCTGGAACCCGAGAGGCGGAGGTTGCAGTGAGCCAAGATCGCGCCACTGCACTCCAGCCTGGCACAGAGCAAGACTCCATCCCAAAAAAAAAAAAAAAAAAAAAATTACAGATGTGCTTGTGAAATATAAAAGTACATAAAGTGCCATATAACTTCTCAGAGATGCATATGCAACCTGTTGACTTCTCTCTGTGCGTGTCGGTGGTTGTATAACTGTTAGCGTTTTCCTTTTTTTTTTTTTTTTTTTGAGAGTTGATCTTGCTCTGTCACCCAGGTTGGAGTGCTTGGCTCAACCTGGGCTCAAGTGATCCTCCTACTTCAGACCCCCGAGTAGCTGGGACTACTGGCACACACCACCATGCCTGGCTGATTATTATTATTTTTTTTTTTTAAGAGATGGGGTTCCTCTATGCTGCCCAGGCTGGGAGTTTTCCTTTTCTTTAAAGAAAAATGCTATCCTACAACTCAGTTTTTACTGACCCATTTTGATCAGTCGCATTGGCTCAGTCCAGGATGTGAGTTGGCTCCACCCTTCCATCTGGAAGATGGAGAGGACTCACGAGGACCCAGGCCGTGAGATCTGTGTGCCAGGAGGCCGGGCTGAGACTGTGAGCACAGTGGGCAGGGCTGCCCAGGACTGTGAGTTTCATTTGTAACCCTGGAGGATTTTCTTTCCTTCTGCAGATGGTGGAAGAGAGTGAAGAGCGGCTCACGGAGGAGCAGATTGAAGCTCTTCTCCACACCGTCACCAGCATTCTGCCTGCAGGGCCAGAGGCTGAGCAGAAGAAGAAGACCAACAGCGACGTGGCAATGGACGAAGAGGACCCAGCGTAGAAGAGCACAGCTGGCCCTGGCATTTCATGACGTCAGAAGGCCCAGCAGCCGTTTCCTGGATGTTGAGAGGATTGTTTATTTGATTATACCCTCTATCCCGGCAGGCCTGGCTGGCTTCGTGGTTAGTTGGGTACATCACAAAAATAAGCTAAAAAGAAATATTTGTGCCTTGGGGAGAAGAAACATGGTGAAGACAGGCTGAGGTTGTCAGGGCAGAGAGCTGAAGGTGGGGACAGTGACCGTGGACCCCTCTGTGCTTGAAAGATTTCCTCCACAGCCTTTGCCCCAGTTGTGGGGAGGTCTCTATACACAGCGGGGAAAATGCTTGTGTCTTCTTTGGTGGGCCATGTCCTAATTAGTTTCATCTGCTTCCCTGGGAACTTACTAAACAGGGGCTCAGAGCACTGTTGGGAATCTGGTTAGAACCCCAGAGAGTTACTCTAAGTTAAAATGAGTCACTGACCTTGGCTCACCTTAGAGGAATTTCCTCGAGAACAACAGAGATAAGAAAAGAACCGGCCTGGCCAATCCTTCAACAGCTCTAGAGCCCCTTTTCTCTGCTGGCAGGGGCTTTGTTTACCAGCTCACTGTTTAGGCTAAATGTTAGGGACCAGATCACTGCAGTTGAAAACAGGCATTCCAGGCTTAGTGACAGTGGCAGCAGAAACAGTGTTGGCTGCCTTCCTGACCACCCCACTTTCCTGCCCTGAGACAGCAGCCCAGGGCAGGTGCTTCACATTGAGACCAGGTGAGCCTCATTTGCACAACAGTCAAATTGTTTGCTCCTTTAAAAAGGACACAATTAGCCTGGCCCAGTGGCTTATGCTTATAATCCCAGCACTTTGGGAGGCCAAGGCAGGAGGATCACCTGAGGTCAGGAGTTTGAGACCAGCCTGACCAACATGGAGAAACCCTATCTCTACTAAAAAAAAATACAAAATTAGCCGGGCATGATGGTGCATGCCTGTAATCGCAGCTATTCGGGAGGCAGAGGCAGGAGAATCACTTGAACCCGGGAGGCGGAGGTTGCAGTGAGCTGAGATTGCACTATTGCACTCCAGCCTGGGCAACAAGAGGGAAACTTCATCTCAAAAAAAATAAGTAAGATTATTACCATGTGAAAACCTTTTTAATATTCAGGAATTCAGGATTTGGAAAGTGTAGTTGCCCCAGGCATGTGGTTGTTGCCTTAGGTCCTGCGAATATTGCTGAAAATTGGATTTTCCACATTCACTGTCTTCCCTGTTTTAGGGAAGAAAATGATCGTAGACATTCGATTTTCCAAATTGGTAGTCTTTCATTTTCAATGCTAATGGGATTACTTCTCTTCCAACCCTCCTGCCCATCCATCCGTCCCACTCCCCAGGCAATTGATTGCAGTTCCGTGCATCTTAACCGTACTATCTGGGATTCAGCTGAAATCTGTTTATAGGCAACATTGAAAGTACCAGATTAGGGTCAGGTGTGGTGGCCCACACCTGTAATCCCTAGCACTTTGGGAGGTGGAGGCGGGCGGATAATGAGGTCAGGAGTTCAAGACCAGCCTGGCCAACATAGTGAAACCCCTTCGCTACTAAAGATACAAAAAAATCAGCCGAGTGTGGTGGTGCACGCCTGTGATCCCAGCTACTCAGGAGGCTGAGGCAGGGGAATCGCTTGAACCCGGGAGGCAGAGGTTGCAGTGAGCCAAGATCGCACATTGCACTCCAGCCTGGCCAACAGGGCGAGACTCCATCTCAAAAAAAATGAATGAAAGTACCAGATTGTACTTGTAAATCTCTCTAGGGTATTGGGAATTTTACTGGGAGCTGTTGATTTATTTCTCAGGGCATATGTGTGCCGTGTGCCGATCTGTCTCATTATTGTCTTTTTTTTTTTTTTTTTTTGAGACAGTCTCGCTGTATTGCCCAGGAGTGCAGTGGCACAATCTCAGCTCACTGCAACCTCTCCCTCCCAGATTCAAGCGATTCTGGTGCCTCAGCCTCCTGAGTAGCTGGGACTACAGGCATGCGCCACTATACCCTGCTAATATCTGTATTTTTAGTAGAGATAGGGTTTTGCCATATTGGTCAGGCTGGTCGTAATGTCTCTTGTTAACACTGAATATGTTAGGTGGTTTTTCTCGATGGATTTAGGGTTAACCTAGTTAATAATAAATTGTTTCCAGGTAATTATCAAGTTTTGTCATCTTATAAATCTGAAGAGTTAATATTGTCATGGATACAAATAAAGTGAAATCTGACTGAAGCTAAAATGTGTGATTTTTTTCTTAAAAAACTGACTTTATTTAGATCTACATTTTTAATTGGATTTCAAGAAAAGTTTAAGTTTCTATATTTGAGACCTGAATTTAGCCTCAGTTTTTTGTTAAACCAGGTTCTGGAAGACTTAATTTTATAAGAAATGCACATATATTCCGTGTAATTTTCCTACCACATTAATAGTAAATGTTTCAGAAATAAAAATTGACCAGGCTGTGGCTCACGCCTGTAATCCCAGCACTTTGGGAGGCCAAGAGGGGTGGATCACGAGGTCAGGAATTCAAGACCAGCGTGGCCAACATGGCGAAACCCCGTCTCTACTAAAAATGCAAAAATTAGCCGGGCGTGGTGGCAGGTGCCTGTAATCCCAGCTACTTGGGAGGTTGAGGCAGGAGAATTGCTTGAATCAGGGAGGCGGAGGTTTCAGTGAGCCAAGATCGTGCCACTGTACTCCAGCCTGGGTAGCACAGTGAGACTCCGTCTCAAAAAAAAAAAAATTAAAACAACTGAATTCATGGAGGTAGAGATTTGAAGAATGGTTATCAGAGACTAGGAAGGGTAGTGGGGGTTGGGAGGGATGGCTAATGGATACAACAATATAATTAGAAGGAATAAGATCTAGTATTTGATAGCACAACAGGGTGACTACAATCAACAATGATTTATTGTACTTTGTTTTTGTTTGTTTTTGAGACGATCTCATTCTGTCACCCAGGTTGGAGTGCAGTGGCAAAGTCTCAGCTCATGGCAGCCTCCACCTGGGCTCAAGCAATCCTCCCACCTCAGCCTCCTGAGTAGCTGGGACCACAGGTATGCGCCACCACACCAGGCTAATTTTTTGTATTTTTAGTAGAGACGGGGTTTTATCTCATTGCCCAAGCTGGTCTCAAACTCCTGAGCACAAGCAATACGCTTGCCTTGGCCACCCAAAGTGCTGGGATTACATGCGTGAGCTACTGTGCCCAGCCTCAAATTTAAAAATAAAGAGCCTAATTGCATTGTTTGTAACACAAAGAATAAATGCTTGAGGGGATGGATACCCCCTTTACTCTGTGATTACTATGCATTGCATGCCTGTATCAAAGTATCCCGTAAATATATACACCTACTATCTACCCACAAAAATTTAAAAAAAAAAATGGCCAGGCATGGTTGCTGATGCCTGTAATCCCAGAACTTTGGGAGGACGAGCTGGGTGGATCACCTGAGGTCAGGAGTTCGAGACCAGCCAGGCGAACATGGTGAAACCCCATCTCTGCTAAAAATACAAAAATTATCCAGGTGTGGTGGCGGGCGCCTGTAGTCCCAGCTACTCAGAAGGCTGAGGCGCGAGAATCACTTGAACCCGGGTGGCGGAGTTTGCAGTGAATTGAAATAGCGCAACTGCACTCCAGCCTGGGTGACAAAGCGAGACTGTGTCTCAAAATATTAAAATTTAAAAATTTAAAAGAATAACTTAAAGTATAATTAGATTTTTTTGTTTATTTGTTTTTGTTTTTGAGACCGAGTCTCGCTCTGTCACCCAGGCTGGACTGTAGTGGTACCATCTCAGCTCACTGCAACCTCTGCTCCCAGGTTCTAAGCAACTCTTCCGCCTCAGCTCCAGAGTAGCTGGGATTACAGACATGCGCCATCATACCCGGCCTTTTTTTTTTTTTTTTTTAAGTAGAGATGGGGTTTCACCATGTTGGCCAGGCTGGTCTTGAACTCCTGACCTAAGGTGATTCACCTGCCTCGGCCTGCCAAAGTGCTAGGATTACAGGTGTGAGCCACCGCACCCACCCTACATTGCTTGTAACACAAAGGATAAGTGCTTGAAGGGATGGATACCCCATTTTCTTTTTTTTTTTTTTTTTTTTTTTTTGAGACGGAGTCTTGCTCTGTAGCCCGGGCTGGAGTGCAGTGGCCGGATCTCAGCTCACTGCAAGCTCCGCCTCCCGGGTTTACGCCATTCTCCTGCCTCAGCCTCCGGAGTAGCTGGGACTACAGGCGCCCGCCACCTCGCCCGGCTAGTTTTTTGTATTTTTAGTAGAGACGGGGTTTCACGGTGTTAGCCAGGATGGTCTCGATCTCCTGACCTCGTGATCCGCCCGTCTCGGCCTCCCAAAGTGCTGGGATTACAGGCTTGAGCCACCGCGCCCGGCCACCCCATTTTCTATGATGTGATTATTACACATTGTATGACTATCAAAGCATCTCATGTAACCCATAAATAATACACCTACTATGTACCCACAAAAATTAAAAAACAACAAAAAACCCCACACCACTACCTCACTGATGCCATAATGTTTAACCATGCTTTTCACTTAAAGAATTCCAGGAAATAGGCCAGGCGTGTGGCTCACGCCTGTAATTCCAGCACTTTGGGAGGCCAAGGTGGGTGGATCACCTGTCACCTGAGCTCAGGAGTTCGAGACCAGCCTGGGCAACATGGCAAAATCCTGTCTCTACTAAAAATACAAAAAATTAGCTGAGCGTGGTGGCACGCGTTTGTAGTCCCAGCTACTCTGGAGGCTGAGTCACGAGAATTGCTTGAATTCGGGAAGTGGAGGTTGCAGTGAGCCAAGATCGTGCCACTGCTCTCCAGCCTAGGGGACAGAGTGGGACTCTATCTCAAAAAAAAAAAATTCTAGGAACTGGCCTTAGAAGATCTAAATATCAAACCAAGGCTGCGGAGAGTTCCACCTCAGAAAGAAATGCTGAGTAATTGATTTACAGCCCTTTTGTCGCCGGCCAGACCACCAAATGGCCCTTACCCAAGATTGCAACCAGACATGCTTGGCTTGCATGCCTTGCCCATCATGTGCTACCAGCTCAGCCTGCAAACCTTACCCCGATGCCAATTCCCACACTTTGCCTAATAAAAAACTACTGACTTTTTTCAGAGTCAGCTGGAGCATCCTTGTACTGGGGCGCTAGCCCCAAAATAAAAGCCTTGTCTGGGGCCGGGTGTGGTGGCTCATGCCTGTAATTCCAGCACTTGGAGGATGAGGCAGGTGGCTCACCTGAGGTCAGGAGTTCGAGACCAGCCTGGTTAGCATAGTGAAACCCTGTCTCTTCAAAAATACCAAAATTAGCCGGGTGCAGTGGTGTAGCCTGTAGTCCCAGCTACTCAGGAGGCTGAGGCATGAGAATGACTTGAACGTAGGAGATGGAGGTTGCAGTGAGCTGAGATCACACCACTGCACTCCAGCCAGGGTGACAAAGTGAGACTCCATCTAAAAAAAAAAAGAAGAAAAAGTAAAAATTAACAAGGGGAGCAGCAGATTTCCCAGACAAGGTTTTTGTTTTGTTTTGTTTTGTTTTGTTTGAGACAGTCTTGCTCAGTCTCCCAGGCTAGAGTGCAGTGGCGCGATCTGGGCTCACTGCAAGCTCTGCCTCCTGGGTTCCCGCCATTCTCCTGCCTCAGCCTCCCGAGTAGCTGGGACTACAGGCGCCCGCCACCACACCCAGCTAAGTTTTTGTATTTTTTCTAGTAGAGGTGGGGTTTTAGCATGTTAGCCAGGATGGTCTCGATTTCCGGACCTCATGATCCACCCGCCTCGGCCTCCCAAAGTGCTGTGATTACAGGTGTGAGCCACCGCACCCAGCCTTGTTTTGTTTTTTAAGGTGGAGTCTTGCTCTGTTGCCCAGGCTGGAGTGCACTGGTGTGATCTCAGCTCACTACTGCAACCTCCACCTCCTGGGTTCAAGCAATTCCCTTCCCTTAGCCTCCCAAGTAGCTAGGAGTAGCATGCACCACCACATCCAGCTAATTTTTGTATTTTTAGTAGAGATGGGTTTTCTCCATGTTGGCAAGTTTTTCTCAAACTCCTGACCTCAAATGATCTGCCCGCCTCAGCCTCCCAAAATGCTCCCAAAGTTACAGGCATGAGCCACCTCACCCGGCATGATTTAGATAAGACTTTGAAGTTTAGACTTTTAAGGGTGATGCTGAAAAAGTTAAGACTTCTTGGGATTATTGGGATGGAATTTAATGAAGGTATTTTGGATGTAAGAAGGATATGGATTTCGGGGAGCTAGGGGAGAGTGCTATGGTTTGAATGTTTTTCTCTCCTCCAAAAATTTATGTTGAAATGTAATCCCCATTACCATAGGATTGGGAGGTGGGGCCTACTGGGAGGTCATGAGGGCTCTGCCCTCTTTAATGGATTAATACCACTGTATAAATGGCTTGCTGCCATGTGAGGACATACATTTCATCCCTTTGTACCCTCTGCCTTCTGCCATGTGAGGACACAGCAAGAAAGCCTTTATCACACCAGATGCAGGCACCTTCCTCTTGGACTTTAAAGTCTCCAGAACTGTGAGAAATACATTTCTGTTCTCTATAAAGTACCCAGTCTGTAATATTCTGTAATAGCAGCACAAAATGGACCAAGACATTTCGCTTTCTCCTCAGGTGGATCCCAAGACACAAAAAATGTCCTGCTAATTAGTGAAGGAGTTTCCTTGGCACAGACCCAATATGCAAAGAAGTGGCTGCCTTTTCAAACGCCTACTTTCCAACAACAACAAAAATCACAAAGCATATTTAAAAAAACAAGGTAACATGGACTATTTCAAGGAAGAAAATGAAGTGGCAGAAATTATATCTGGAGAGGCCGGGCGCACTGGCTCATGCCTGTAATCCCAACACTTTGGGAGGCCAAGGCGGGCAAATCACTTGAGGTCAGGAGTTTTGAGACCAGCCTGGCCAACATGGTGAAACCCCATCTCTACTAAAAATACAAAAATGAGCTGGGCATCGTGGTGGGCACCTGTAATCCCAGCTACTCAAGAAGCTGAGGCAGGAGAATCACTTGAACCCGGGAGGCGGAGGTTGCAGTGAGTTGAGATCGCACCACTGCACTCCATCCAGCCTGAGTAACAGAGCGAGACTCCATCTCAAAAAAAAAAATAAAGAAATTATTCCTGAAGAGACACAGGTACCAGACTTACTAGACAAAGAGCTTAAAACAAAACCATCTTAAATATGCTTGA